CACATCGTGGTCGCTGCCACCACGACCATGCACATTGGCAGGTAAACGTTAAAGTCGGTGCCGAAGAAGTGAATGACGCGCATATCGGTGAACAGACAATTCTCGCCGCCGCGCCTTCTTCTCGCCCATAGACCATGTCCACGCTAGTTCAAAGTTCGCGACTGCGACGCACCCTCATAAACGGCCTCTTGCTTCCATCGAGCCAAGAGCGACGGACGTGTGTACGGCAATGTTGAACTCACTGTGCATGAAAACCTCCTCCGCACAAGGGCCATTTGCGCGCTGGTCGACCTGATGATGGCGTCGTCGAAATGAAAAACCTAAACGAAGTGCTCTTCGAACGAGTTTTAGAGCGGCACGAAGCCAAGCGATGCGTCCACCTCCAGCGTCGACGCTGCTTGTAGCACCGACGACAAGTCCGTCGTGGACACACAAATTGCCTGGCGCGGCATGGTCTACATCGTCCTTCATACATGGATAATGAGTGTACTGTCGTCACTCGTCCAAGAGCGCTTGTGAGAGTCCATGGCCCTTGGCACCGCCGACCCGCTCGGCAGCTTCTTTTTCCATCTTGGCTTTCATCTTCGTGTACTTTTCAATGCCTTTCTGAACCAGGACGTCGCCTTGATGGACCTTCGCTTCATGCTCGATGTGTCCAGGCATGAGCTCCTCGTACTGGTCGAGGCCCATGGACTTGACCAGCCGCGCGTAGCCATGCCACATCGTGGTCGCTGCCACCACGACCATGCACATTGGCAAGTAAACGTTAAAGTCGGTGCCGAAGAAGTGAATGACGCGCATATCGGTGAAGAGCGTGTGGAACGAAGCGTAGTCGGTGAGATCGTGTCGATTCAAGAGGAGGCAAAAGTTGTAGCCGAGCGAGAACTGGAGGCGGCACTGCTGGATCGCGGCCGTGAGGAGGCTGAGCTCGGTCGAATTGTGCGCGCCATGGAGCGCGACACGTCCGAATCCGCGGATCGAAAACAAACTTTGATACACACACGTCCCCATGTAAGTGAGGAGCGCCAGGAGCACAAGTTGGACACTCAACGCGCCGGATGTCGGAGGTTCTGACGAAGTGGCAGCGGCAGCGAGCAACTGGCCCAGTGGAGACCATCGAGGGCTAGCACCCATAAACACTTCGCTCCACAAAACGATCGCCGAGCCAAAGACACAGCAAGCTGTCGCGGCGCCGATCGCATAGGTCCACATCGCATGCGCCGTCCACGACGAAAACCACTCGGTCACTGACATCGGACGGGTTGTCGACGGCGTTGGTGCTCCGCTCGCGTGGAGTTGCTCAGTCTGATCGATCCATTGGATTAATCGTTGTGCAGACCAACACACATCCTGCCACGCCTGTTCACACCGTCGAAGGTCAGCCAGAATGCGCTTGACCCGTCCGTGGAGCAAGATCACGTCGGCTTCCGATGGCAACGAAGTATCCTCGAGAACAAGCATCTTCGAGGACGAGGACGGAGGGCGCAGTGCGTGCTTAGAGCGTCGGCTTGCTCGCTTTGACGAACCGGTCTCGAGGTCATCGTCTGCAACGCCGCCGTCGTGGCCTAATGTGGCGGCGACGTGGCGCAAGCATTGTTTGATGTGCTGCATGTCCGGCGTCAAGATGATCGTGGACTGTTCAATGGCTTGGAAGCGCCGCATCAAGTCTTGGACATCGCGGATGACGTCGTCGTAAGTGAACATGGCCTCAACTCGGTCGTCGTGGATCTGGATGGCTCGAAAGTAAATACGCCGCAGACGGTCGTGCGGATTTGCAGTACGCCACACGTTTCGCGGGACGTTGACGACTCCGTATCCGAGAAGTCCAATGAGCCACAACAGCCCATACGTGTTGGCCACCGTCATGGCAAGGCCGACAATGCCAGACAACGTCAAGTGGTCGACCACAATTAGGTACATGACAAGTGCGACGCCCGCCGCGAGAAGAATCGCGTAGTGCCGGAGGAGGTACCGAATGGACGCATGGAGCTTTTGTTGGGGCGTGAACGCGCCGCTCTGGCTGTACTCAATCAGCACGGGCAGAACTACCCAACTGAACATAAATGTCAACCAATACAGGACTTTCCACCCTGTCAAGAGGGACGTGTGGACATGCAGTGGCTGGGACGACGCGCCGATCCTAGCCGCTAATGTTGCCGAAATGTCCACAGGCAGCATCAAGAGACCGAGGAAGCCAGCGTACCAGCTCATGAAGACAAAGCTGTAGACAAGGTAGCCCACATGTGGATCCTTGTAGTAGTGGAGTAGGGCCCCCGTGAACAGAAAGAGCATGATGCATTCCGTGGCAAATGCGATCGACATGCTGCGCACCTCAACCAGCGATGATGGAGGTGTTCACGGCCACTTTGACGATCGGTGCAAGTCCTTCGAATGTCGAAACCTTCCAGCACAGAATGTGGATCCTGAAACCCTAACATCAATTTATAGCCTATATATTTGACATTAAATCGATAAGTTTCATTTTTAATAGCATCCGACCGAAGTCCAAGCCTCCACATTGTGACGTTAATGGTACAAATTGTTGTGAACCATGTGTCGTGCGTGATAAACGTCCTTCCCACGTTAGTACAGTGATGCCTCGATTTTTGCACGATGGGTAATTCATCAAGTATAAATGGTATCAAATTCAATCGTTTCAGACAAATGTCAAATTTACAAGTTCTAGCTACGACATCAAAAAGCACACAGACATGGAAGAGCCGACACGGAACGTCTCAAGATCAGCCATCAACGACCTTTGAGGTAGGATGCCTGTACGCGCCCAACAGTTTCTAATCGTTGATAGTGAGACTTCATCCCACGCCTCTGTTGCCCAACGCATCGCCTGCAGCACATTGCAGGCATACGGATTCTTCCTTTGCTTGTCAGTCACGGCGCCACCTGAGGTAATGTTGTCGACAATTTGAATCGTATGGGTAAGTTGGCGTTTCTTGTAGTATGCTTTGAATGCGGCGATTATTCCGGCGTTCATGGGCTGCAGCGAGGAGGTGGAGTTGGGTGGCAGCATCGACACGCGAATGTTGCTGATGTCGGCCCGAACAACTTGGTGCGAGGAGGCATTCTCCAGGAGTAGTAGAAATGTTCTATCCAGTTCAGTTGATCCATTCAGATAAGAGCTCAATTGTCATCCATGCCTTGCGATTGTTTCGATAATATTGGCTCAACTCGCTCGCCGAGAGGCTACCAACGCAACGAGGTTTCTGGGACTTATCGATAAAGAAAGGAGGTAGCTTAGTGTTCCTTCAGCGTTGGGTGTCAGGGCGACAGAGATTCTACTCTTGTCTTTCTTCAGATCATATATGGGCTTACTGTACATTGATGTCTTCGGCTGGGCCTTGTATTTTCCCCATCTCGTCGATGTTGTAAATGTCGCTCGCATGTTAGAACTCTGCCTTGAGCAGCAAATCGTCGCGACCCGACTTGGCAACCAAAGGGTCAAGGGAAGCACCTACTCCGTGGAAACGATGTACCCACAGGTTGTGGCGCCTTTGGAAGTTTTGTAGCCAACATTGCGACCCTTTGAACTGGCTGATGCCAAGGCTTATGGCTAGGCGTAGCGCTTTTCGCTTGAATATTGGCCCGGTTATGCATATATTATTTGTGTTTGCAGCGTCCACCCTCTTGACCAGTTGTTTGTCGAGCTCGGGATGTTTGGTGGTTTTAAGTTTGATCGGCGGTACATGGCCTATTGTCAATGTTGCATGATTACGCTTCCCTGGGGTCCTTAAGGATGCGCCAACTGTACTGGAGTGGATCAAGCATCCGAATTGTATATCGGCCACGTGGCTAATTGGTGAAATGTCACGGACCCATGTGGCTGGCCATTGTAGAAGATACGCAGTGTATCTTTTTGTTTACAAGGTCAATCGCTTCCCACCTGATGACATTGCGGCTGTTTGGGCACCAAATTTGAATTTCAAATACCTGGACCTTAAGAAATTTGCAAAGCTGTCTAGCATTAATTCAGAGAGGTTATTCATTTCCGACGCGTGCAAAAATCGAGGCGTCACTGTAGCAGTGCATTCAATAAAACGATCTAAACTGATGCATTGTCAAACATCCTTTAGCAATACTAGTACGTACAGCAGCGAACTGGTACGATACTTGATGCTTCTGAATGTAGCATGACAAGGTTTTTCTTAGCTGTACATTTTAAAACACCAGTCTCATCCTCAATGTAGGTGTCCTGGATGTGTACAAGCTTGCGATTTGCTCGATCGCTTCTCTTTCACTGAAGACGTCGAGGGGATTGGCAGAAGCGGCCTTCCTGTGAAGTCGGTACATTCGCGGGTTGTTGCGCAGCTTCATGCGGCAAAGCCGTCCATAGGAGAATTCGACACGCCAGCTTTGGCTCATTCTCTCGGCGATCTTGCTACCAGCGTTGGTAATGAGTTCTCCCGAGACGCAGGAGCTCTTTTCATTTGCTGATATTGTGCTTTCTACTCAAAATGTCCTTCGGCGGTTGGTTAAATCAACCGTCAGAGAACCGCCGAACCTGTTATATATGATAAACATATTATATTTAAGAGGAATTTGACAGTCCTTCGAAAGTTCCGCCCTCAGAACGAGCGTGGACACAGACATTGACAACGAGGAAAAGGAAGCGGCTACAACTCCTGTGCGCCAGGACAGAGCACGTGCACAAGTTTCACCATGCCCAGAGCACACACCGGCATCTACGCCCTCTCTGTATCAACTCGTTGTTCAGCCAATCGTCAAGAGATCATTGGGGCAACGCGACAAGTCTTGTTGTACACACGTGCAAGCTCTGCTCAGCTGTACCCGAAGCTGTAGATTGCGTACAGGCAATGGTAGACCGTGTTCGGGTGGGCGTGCTGCCTTGTTGCCGCTTGTTCCATGCCACAACCGCACAAAATGACTGAAGCATTAGCCAATCAAAATGCTTCGGATATTTTTCGGCGGTTTCACGATTGGCCCAACATTGGAAAATTTGGCCAAAAAGCACAATATTATCTATTCAGCAACTGTTTTGTCGGACTCAGGATTGTATGGGCGGTATAAATTGTATCGGGACATTGTTGACTAGGTTTGTATGTTATATGTTCCAAAAGTGCGTTCGTCCTTCAGAATACGTCGGATCGTCGTGATGTGGAAATGGTAGATGAATTGCTCCGCAGCCTATTTTCGGACATTCGATGTTCTATGTAATGGTGTGTTATCATTAAATGGTCTTATCGAGTTCTTGTCTTGAAACCTTATCATCTTGCTCGCTGATCTTTTTCTTCGCTGCTTGTTCTCTTAAGTCTGTTTGTTGGGGGTAAACTTCTTTGGAGACTTTATATAAAATCATATTGCAAGTCATGTTTTGACCAGTAAGAAACGTTGAGGGAAAATTATAACCATTCGTTCCACCCCGCGCACACTCAACTCCATCGTGAGTTGGTGCTTGGCACACCAATTGTTGCACGACCTCGTCTGGGCAATGTACGACACTCGCTGTACAAGACCCCAGAGTTGCGCAGTCGATGGCGTACCAGAGGACCCCGCCGTTCCCGCCTTCATTGACTGGAATACTTCAAAACGTTATACTTTGAGCAGTAGAAGTGAATGTTTGACTAGTACATATATTAGAGAGTTTTAGCAAGTCCGAAAATTCACCAGTTTACAGACTTTGAACTTCGTTCGATCTCGTTGAAGTCTGAAGCGCAAAGTCTGATGAATTCCAGTTTAGCAAGTCTGTAGAATGCATTGGTGTTCAAACAAGCACCGTTGTTCAAAATGCAACCGCACCACCACCGCCTCATCCACCGTTCTCGTGTGCATCTCCGACTCAAGCTTTGCCTACTTTGCCGTAGTACAAGACAAGCCTACCTAACCATTCCTAATGTGAGATTCACGTTGGACACTTTCACCAAAGCCGACTGCGTTGAGAAGTTTCGTTTTGCGAAAGCAACACTGCGAACACTGGCAAATTCTCTGCGGATCCCTTCTCGAGTTATCACTGCCGAACGATCAACATGCTAAGCTGTTGAGGCTCTTTGCATCCTTCTCCGTCGTTTTGCCGTCCCCGACCGGTGGTCCGACCTAATCGCCATGTTCGGACGTACACGCAGCGGGTTGTGCATCATCTTCCTGCATGTGCTGGATCACGTAGAAAGCAATTTTGCTGACATCATCGTTTTAGACCGCGACAGAATCAGCTCGAAACTGGCTGACTGATTTCAGTCGAGCTATTGTGGCCAAGGGTGGCGAGTTTCAAAACGCATGGGCCTTCATTGATGGGGCTGTTCGCGAATGTTGCCGGCCGGGTGGCGACGAACGACAACGTTGTGTGTTTAATGGACAAAAGCGCCGCAATGCTGTCAAGTTCCAGACGTTAGTTACAGTACGCCGGATGGCATCATTTCCCACGCGTACGGTCCCATTGAAGGTCGTCGTCATGATCTCACAATCCTACGACAGTCCAACCTCGAACGTGT